TTACATATTGACATTGAATTGTGTTTATATTCCCTTCTACCTGTTATGGGTTGGTTAATACTTTTACATATTGACATTCAATTGTGTTTATATTCCCTTCTACTTGTTATGGGTTGGTTAATACTTTTACATATTGACTTTGAATTGTGTTTATATTCCCTTCTACTTGTTATGGGTTGGTTAATACTTTTACATTTTGACATTGAATTGTGTTTATATTCCCTTCTACTTGTTATGGGTTGTTTAATACTTTTACATATTGACATTCAATTGTGTTTATATTCCCTTCTACTTGTTATGGGTTGGTTAATACTTTTACATATTGACTTTGAATTGTGTTTATATTCCCATCTACTTGTTATGGGTTGGTTAATACTTTTACATATTGAATTTGAATTGTGTTTATATTCCCTTCTACTTGTTATGGGTTGGTTAATACTTTTACATATTGACATTAAATTGTTTTTATATTCCCTTCTACTTGTTATGGGTTGGTTAATACTTCTATATATTGACATTAAATTGTGTTTATATTCCCTTCTACTTGTTATGGGTTGGTTAATACTTTTACATATTGACATTGAATTGTGTTTATATTCCCTTCTACTTGTTATGGGTTGGTTAATACTTTTACATATTGACATTGAATTGTGTTTATATTCCCTTCTACTTTTGTTATAGGTTGGTTAATACTTTTACATATTGACTTTGAATCTTGTTTATATTTTCTTGTATTTATTATGTAGTTTATTGAATAAATTACAGGAACACAGATGATTCCATGTAATTTTATTTGAGGTCCTATAGTGTGTGATTTTTGTAAGCCTAATTTATTTTTTCTATGTTTAGTTTTTTCCACATTTTTTGTAAATTATCTATTACATATAATTGAATTGCATTTCTCTTAGAATGTTTTATTTGTTGGGACTATTACATATCCAATTACAATTTAATTTGAAAATACAACACAGGCCAGACTGTAGCAAGTTCTTGTAAAAGAGTTATAGTAGCATTTTGAATGGTATGTTTTTTTATCAATATGTTTTATAACTAAGCATTATTCAATATTTACATAAATTTCTTTAGGAGAACAAAGTCTGATGTGAAAAATAGGTATTACAGTTTGGCATTTGTTACCGTATATCTATTTCTCCAATGATAATAATTGTATGACTTTTTATACCTTTATAAGTAATATTATGTAGTTTATTCAGTCTCGCTCACCCAAATTAGTATATATAGTAATTATTTTTAGGTTTACAAAAATGCTCATGATAGCAGATATAACCTTTATAGATGTTAGGTAAGGATATATTGTGCTTTGATAGTCGTAGAATAGTTTTATTTTCATAATTTCCCAAGCTAGCCTTGGTAGATTTCTGATTTCTGGCCTACTATACATAATCATTTATTGTTTTGAGGGTCAAAACTGACATTAATGATTTTGTATTTGATTCATGTTTATGATTCATCAATTTAGTAACTTATAGTGATTGAAATAGATATTATACTGTATTACGTACTAGTAATTTCAATGCGAAATTAAGCATGCTTTAAGTTCTAAACTGTAGAAGAATACTTAATGTTGATTTGCATACAGTTTTAGTACAGTACAAACATTTTACCCCAACGTATACAATACAATCTACCATATTGTTTACATTAACACTTAAAACTTCAATTACTGAGGAATCACTTGATTACTGGAAGCGTAATTGATTGTAGCACTCGATTTGAATGCAAATGAGAAAACTGATTAAATGTTTTGAAGGCTTCATTTAAACATAGATTGTTTTTAATAAATTTTAATTGTGTATTAGATTAAATGTAGTATGCAAGTTGGTTTTTATCAGAAACTTATAGATTACCTAGTAAAAGATTGTCAGATACTGATGTAATACTAAAACTTCAGTGAACCTTAATTTGTAGCATACTCGTTACTAAATTATGTCCCAAAAAATTAGTAAGTACCATACAAATGTACAATTTCCTGAATTTTCAGTAAAGATTTTGTAAATACTTGTTGTCAAGCAGATCTGTTTCCAAGGGAGCAATGCGTTTTATTTACTAAGTTGTATTGGGAAACTTTTTGTCATACCGAGAGAAATAGCTTTCACTTTAAACTTTAGAATGCTATTCGATACATTGTGACAACTGTTAGGCTTTTATTCAGTTTACCTTCTACCATTTTTTTTTGTCCTAGGACGCTAGGCACGGGCCCGGGATTGTTTTTCACATTGTTTCAGGCTAGACCTAAGGGTTGCGGCATTATCACTTAGATAAAATCCGTTGGTGTTTTGGCGGAATTTGAACCCAGGACCTCAGGGACAGAAGTCCCGTGCTCTAACCACTAGACCAGATCGTTCCCCCGCTACCTTCTAACCTTGGTTAAAGTTGTCACGATGATATTTCCTTGAGTGATATTCAATTAACTAAGACCATAGTTGTTTTATCTAACTTATTATTTTGACTAAATAACTACCCTAAGTTATGATTTGTGAAGCTAAAAATAGTTTTAAAACTATTTTTACTAATCTTTGATGGTAGATTTATCTTATTATCCCTTCAATTCCTCAAAATGTGCGTTTTCCTTGACACTTTTTCTATACAGGGTGATTGGTACTCAGTGCGACGACAATTTTTTGGTGTAAGTACAAAGTAAATGCAGTGTGATGATGCATATAAAAGGTCCCAAGACTAAAAATTAGTTTCCCAAAGAATTATTTTATGTTTTTCAAAAAAAACTATGTTTTTAAACCTAATATAGCTATTTCTCAATTACTTGTTAATGGATTTGAGTAGATAATGTCATTTTCGTGTTCTACATTAAATTTTGAATAAGAATAATAGAAAATGACGGGGGATCAGTTGTAAAAACTCCATTGTAAATAGATTCAAAGATAAAAATTAAAATGTTTGATACAATTAAAAAAAAACATTGGTCTATTGCATTTTTTCTCACCCTCTATCCAGGAAAGTATCCGAATCTTATAAAGTATTAATCTTCATACGGCCCATTTCCTGCTGATTATTATAAAAATCAGATTAATATTAATTTAATATCAATAATAAAATCTGCAAAAATTGTGTAATGATCAGTTGTTACCCAGAGTGCAAAAAAGTAGTAATCAAAGTAAAATGTTGATAAACCAGCTGTTTTGCATACTAATTCAATAGAACAAAATGACACTTTCTTTGTGAACTGCTGACAACATATATTGTTGAACAGCTGATTTGGTAAATTATTGAGGATAGAATATCTTTGTTTTGTTTGTCCCGATTATTCCGTATGTATTTAACATTACATTTAACATTACGTAATAATAATATAATATAATGAACTCAGTAAAATGGCTTTTAACAATATTAGAAATAGGTAGTTATAGTCTATTTCCTTATAATTTTGTACAATTGAACCACTCATTTCTTAGGACAGAGAAAACTTTTTGAAGTCAGGTTTATGGCCCTTAATTAGAATGAAATTAAATTGATACCAAACTCGACATGAGCTTATGACATGAGCTCCTAGCGCCAATGCCGCGTCATGCGATTGTACGCCTATCTTTAATCGATTAAAAATGATACAAGCAAACTCCGTATCAGAAAAAGCTTAGAACAAAAAATAAAATTTAACTTTAATCTAAAACTTTGCCGCAAGAATTTTTTCCTGACGAAAAAATAAAAAAGTTTCTCGCTTACTACATTTTCATGTTTTTAGTGCTGCTAAAAATCAATCATCAGTTTTAGTTTGTCTAAATAAATTATAAAAAACATGTTAAGGTAAAAACTAACTACATAGTAATAAGCACTAGTTTTCCAGAAAAATAAAACATCAACTTGAAATTTCATGTTAACAAATAAGTGTAGCAGAGCAGGTTGAGTGAATGTATGTTTGTGTAAAACAGACAGGTTCATTCGGCCCGTCCGCCTCAGTATCCCGCCAATTCGAATGGTGGGCACGGGCCGTTTTTCCACCATACAGCACGATATCCAGTTGAGTATTGGTATTATATTTCGATGACTGCCGTTAACTCAAAATTGAAAGAACTAAAAACAAAAATGGAGAACAAAGGCCGTCACCGAGGTATAAGTGTCAATAGACTGTATAATACTATAAGTGTATAGTGTATACGTTCACTTTGCAGCGAGATACCTGGTGACATCGGTCCTCCTTGGTGGTCCATCTAGCCGGGCTGTATATATTCGTAGAGCATTACACTTCTTTCCTGCGAGAACTGAAATATAGTTTAGCTTATAACGAGAGATCGGTTTGGCCTAAAGGCTTGAAGTAAGGTTATTTTTTACTAAACCATATATGAGGAATCCATTTAAAACATTTTCGTCGTAATAAAATTACAGGGCGTTCCAAAACTGAGGTTCATGGGTTCAAATCTGAACATATACAGGATGACCCGTAAGTAAACAGCCAAACTGAACAGGGTAATGGTTCTATGGGTCAAAATAAAGAGAAAATCAGGAATAACATTTTTTTCCAAAATGCTTCGTTAACCCCTCCATTTTGTATTTTTGACATAAACATTTTTATTTTTGAATGTTTTTAACCGATCTTTATGAAACTTGGTATGTAATTTAAGGTAGAAAAGACCAATTTTAGAATTTTGTTTTTTGATTTTCTCTTTATTTAGACCCATAAAACCATTTCCGGGAGTTTGGCTGTTTACTTAAGGGACACCCTGTATATAAAATCACTTTAATGTTTGATATCTTTAAATATCACTTGGTAAACCTGAACCAAATCTGATTCAGAACCTGAACCGTTTAAACTTGAATTGTAAAGAAACCAAGCAAAACAACAATTGAAATATAAACTCTGAATAGCAAATGTCGTTTCAGAGCTGATAGTACTTAAATTAGGTTAAACCGTTTAAAACATTATAGACATTCTCCTGACTTTGAAAATTACCAAAACAGCCTCCGTGATGTAAATTTAATCAGTCGTTTATAAAACAAATCTTTATTTATCTAAAAAATAACATCGTTTTAACAATATACTACATAGTTTTACAGCATTAACCACTAACAGTCAATAAATAATACAATTTATCTTAGAGTACTAAATATACTACTTGTCAATAGTGTTACTGTCATATAATACTTGTTATCATGTTACTTGTAATGTTTTTAGGTCCCCTGATGACTATATGATAAACTTTAATCCTCGTCAGGATTATGTGTGAAGGCTTATAATCGTAATACTCAGTAGATCTAAGTCTACATTAGAACGACTTAGTAAAAATCAGTACAACATTGCTTCTCAATAAAATTTTTGTTTGTATACAGGAACAATTTGACTTGCCGATGAATTATGGATAAATTCGTTTCAATTGCTTAGAATTTAGTATTGCCGCACTGTGTTGACTTAAAATGCCATTTGTCACCCACTGTGGATTAATTTGTAAAAATTAGTTTATTTACTAGGTGTGTTCAAATTCAACATGAATTCTAGTCTAAATTGTTCGTTCCAGGCTATTTTCATTGAACAGGAGCTTGAGACGCCCAAACAAAAGCTATGGACGGATTGAGGGACCGGTTGGGGTTATTAAAAATGCATTTAATTTTGTTACGAGAGGAAATATGTGTTTGGTAAATAGTTAGGTTGGGTCTATACAATCCAATTTTATTTAGTGATTGTTCACACACACACACACACCTAACAGAAATAAATTAATTGTACGACAGATAAGTTTGTAGCTGGTATCCCTAGCAAATAAATTGTTGATCAGGAACAAAAATCGTATAATCAATTCATTCCAACGACAGACTTTGCTTTTAATAAATTAGGCCTACTTTCAATCTTTTTTCTACATAAACACATTTGCAGCTGCAGCACTCTGTGTCTTTAGCTCAGTGTTCATTATACTATTGCAGTTAGTTCTCATACGATACAATTCACCGATGACAATTCTGATATACACGACGAGCTCGTACTGTACAATCCGTTATTGAGCTCCTGACCACCAACTAGAGACTTGATTTTCATGCAGGGCTCCCTCGCCACCGAAGAGTGAGGTAGAATAGCCTATCGTCTCAGCCATGCTCAATGACACTGTTTCCCGTCATTGTTGACACTACATTCTCCATTAGGTTTGGAGATGAAGAGTTTCCCGTTGCTGCACATGCAGACCTGGTACTGCTTGGACCCTGGACTGGACTCCAGATGGATGTACCTGGAAGGCTGAGGCTGCAGAAGAGGAATGCTCTCCAGGTTGGGGATATAGATTCCAGGCGACTTCAGTTTTATCTGTAAACAAAAAGTTTCAAAATCCTTTCCAAGATTTATGGAAAACATTCGTTTCCTTTGTTGATTTTACAATGGTCAAAATACTGTTGTGACTAAGAAAGTGCACAGGCTTTTTCAGGTCATCGATGTTTATTTCCTGGAAGATATTTCTTACATTATTAATTGAAATAATTAAATCATTTATTATCAACTATTTATTTCGATGCATGGTTTTATTTGGTGCGTTAATTAAGTTTAACACTGTTTTGCTGGGTTTTTTTTATCATCTATCATCTTCCTTTTTTGGAAGACACTGTATTTTTATTTTATTTGAGAAAAATTAAAAACTTCTGATTTTTTCGCAACAATAACAATCTTGCCATTAAAGCCGTATTAACTGGGTTGCATTTTTTGGAACCTCTAACCATTCAAGTTTTCTTAGGTATTCGTAGTGATTTATTTTCTGTAAAATTGTATGTTTTAACAATTTCCTAGCTGTTATAGGCTGAAAAAGCTATAAATATTTTCCCTTGCATATTTGTATGCAGAGCCATACATATGCACTCAATAGGGTAACAGATTATCAATATCAGTAGAATACACCAATTATCAAGCAGATGGTGAAGAATAGGTTGTGTTAAAATTGCTAAACGTATTTCTAATAGTACCAAAAGAAACCTAGCCCTCTTCGTACGAAATCTTTTTACTAAAACTATAAGCGTTACAGCTAATTTTCCTCACGCTCAATGCACTGCACTATCATAACGAATATCGTAAAATAAAACAAGAGGTAAATAAATAATGAACTACTGTATAACTGTCTCAATTTTCTTACTCTTCCATCTACAGATGACAAGTGAAGGTCTGTGAGGCAGGACGCGCTGATATCAGCCCCTCTACTCTCAATAGAAACTCCTGCTGGAGCCATCACATGGAGCCTTCTTGTCGCAGACTCCAGCCTGACATAGAGTAATGTTATTTATTAATATTCATACATTCAAAATATTAATGTTGGAGGAAGCGTTAAAAGTTTGGTTTTAATATTGTAAAATATAGTTTCACATTTGTTTTAAATTAACTCTAACAAAAATAACTCTACATTCATTTTCATCAATTTTAATATAACTAGATTACTTAAGTGATATACTTAATGGATCACAGTAAATATATGTGTGTTTGGCGTACGCTATAATTACTCACAAAACAAAACAATCATTATAGACCTAGGAAAATATTTGTTGGTTTGATTTGTTAATACAATTATTACTTACATTAGTTCAGCTCCTAAACTGGATCTCAGCATCGCCGTCTGAACACTGCCAGAGAAGTGGGCTCCTCCTAGGAATACAAGAATGTTTTCAAATTGATGATACTAAATTGGTACACTCGAAAAGTTGGTTAAAATTAGCGTGGATAATATTGGTCACTAGATGCTTCAGAACGGAATTCCGATAAGTTGCGGCGGAATCAAAGTTGACTCATTTATTAATTTGGCCATTTATTGATTTTGTCATTTATTAATTCAAAGTTTGATATATGTTACGTATAACTAAACGTGCTCATACCACATCGATGAAAATATTATTGGTTCTATACAAGAAATACTTTTAACACATAATATAAAAATTTGACTATGCCTGCTGAAGTAGACTTCTCATACTATTGTTAAGTCTCAAGTCTGATTAAATTTATATTTTGTGTTCCATGTTTACGGAGAACAAGTTTTTCTTTTTTGTTTTAGGGTAGATTTAACGATTTGTGCTTTAAAGCCGTTGCTGTATGAATATTTATTAAGATATATAGTTTTTTTTTTTTTTTATACGCTTAAAATAAGTTAAATGACAAGAAGCAAATAGTAACCAACAAAATGCTCTCTATATGAACCATGAACCTGACGAAACTAACCTTAAAATTGGCTTAAGCTGATCCATAAATAATGATGATAAATTTATGATAAAATATGTTTAATCTATGAATACTAACCCTGAAGCACCCGAAGGTTATCTGTGCCGACGGTCACTTGGCCCGGCTGTGCGGTGAACAGAGTTCTTCCTCTCAGGTCGCTGACACGGAACTGAGATGCTTCGGCCACCAAATATCTTCTGTCTGCCAACCAAACATAGTCCTTACATTATGGATGGTAAAAAACAACGGGCCAGCTTAACACTCGACACAACTAAGCACTCGATTAATTAAAACATGACAGTATTTTCAATCTAATGTTTTTCTATGATATATAAAATAACGTTCCTTTTGTCGTCGTATATCTACGGGTCTGCTAACTACTATTATTAGATTACTATTTTCGAAACATAACTGCTTCTCTTTTAAATCTCATAAAACAGTTTAATTCTGCAAAAAACATATATCACAATTTTTAAATACATTAATAAAGGACAACGTTGAAATTACAATTTTTGAACGCGTGGCAAACAAAACGATTTAGACCAGACGCCCAGCCGAATACTGTACATATATTTTTATGAGGAAGGAAACGAAACTTTAACATAAGCTTAGTGTACTTACTAATACTTATTACGATTGTATGCAAACCGTATAGGCCTAGTGAAATTCATTTGTAATGTAAATTTAAACAGTTTATATAACAATGAAAAGTATAATTTGAAGTTAGATTTTATGTTTTCATAGTATGTTTCATTAGTATTTGTAATTTTTCTAAGATGCCTTGAAGATAACGCGCAAGCAATGAAAATGATAGGGTACACAATACAAATAATAGGGATGATTAGAATGATGATACAACAGAAAATTTTTAATTAATTCAAATATATCACGGATCTTGAAGTCACGAAGTGACGCTGGCTGCTAGTTTACATAAACAAATATACACACATGTTTATTTACACCATATCCAGCATCTAACGATTTTTACTCGAATAATAGTAGACTACGTTAAAGTAAGGTTAAATCCTCGTGACTTCTGGTTTGAGGCTTGTTGATTGGTTGATGTAAGATAACGACGTTTTGTAGACATAACAAGATTTAATATTCAGACCAACGTTCACGCTAATTAATAGTTCCCTTACTCCTAAGTCAGGAATGAATAGTTCGTATTGTACTATTCTTTAATGCTGTATGGAACTAAGGAGTAGGGTATAATATTGAACTGCATGAACAATGGCCACACTGCCTAAACAACACGATTCAATTCATAAGCCATGAGGATATTGTTGGAAAACTACCGTGGAAGTCAACGCTCTTCATTACGTTAAAATACACAGATACTGTATTTAAGAGCAACAATGAGCAACACGTGTCTACTCATATATAATAAAAGTGTTAACATTAACTAAAGGTATCGATATGGGTCTATAATTTACAACGCCTTACTGGTATCTTGTGTCGCACTCCAGAAGTGCAGGGACTGCTCGGGGTGGCCGTTCTGATCAGTGACACTCAATGTCATATTGTAGTGGGACTCGAAAGACAGAGGTTCCCGAGTCTTGGAGGTTAGTCTAGAAGCTGCCAGGGACGCCAGGACGTAACTGAACTCTCTCAGTCGTACACCGTCCCTGGAGATTTTGAGGTCTCCTAAGCCCCCCTACACGCAGGTGGGATAGAATCTTCATCAGTAGAGTACGTAGAATGTAAATCATTGATCCTAATGTTAGTTTGTGGAGGAAAGAGCACAGCAAAAGAATACATTGACAAAAAGGAATGGACGTACAACTAACTCAAGAAAAGAGTTCATAACATAACACTAAAGGTTCTCGACACAAGCCAATCTAATTACTCCGCTCCAACAATAATTGTTCTTCAGAAGGAAGAAGAACGAATTAGCTATTTTCATATCCCTATCACTCTAAAAAGATCAGGGGTCCACAGCCATTTCGGGTATTTCTGGGGGCTTATTGAATTTATGGATGTATATGGATTTGATATTTAAAAAAAAGCAACAAATAACTTTACAGTAAGGACTCTTCATATACATTTAAGTAGTTACTAATAAATGTTGCAATAAGTTTACTTTAAGGAAGGTTAAAAGCTACAAAATAAAATATTTATATAACCTTACACCTTTATATCCATCAACTAGCTAACTACATTATTCATTCTCCATAAGAGTAACATAGAAGACAGCCTACTTTTGATACCTTACTTGTGTAACATCAGCTTTGAACAATGTACCATCTTTTTCAAGCGTAACTGAGTGATTGAGAGCCTCCGGTGGCCGTAAAACAAAAAAGTAAATTGGACCTAGGTATACGACTCACCATGAAGACTATGGCTACGGGATCAGTTAGGGCAAAAGGATAGTTGAATAGCAATACTTCACTGCAACCCAGTGGGCAAGAATGTGCATTTTGATGTGTAAATTCAAATAATAAAATGTTATCTTACTGAAGAGAAAAGTGGCCAATGATAAATTTAAAGTAAGACATTGACAAAAAAGGATTTAAAAGTCATATGGAGCTAACTATTTCTTTACCACAGATAATATTCATCAAATATTTGTTTAAGTGAGTGTAAGTGCCATTGACTTTTTAGGGAAGAAATGTAGTTTTTAACCTAAGATGCTTTTCCAACGCTACAGCTGCTGCTTACCAAATTGAAGTCAATGGCGCTGATGAGCAGAAATGTGGCCACGAAGGACCCCATGACGACCACCAGAAGCCCCAAGATGAGCACGTAGAGACATCTCTTGCGCCACCCGTAGATGCCGATGTGGGGACTTAAGGGTGGATCACTGTTCTCATTGCAGTTCATTGAACTGTAACAATCAACAGTACGTGGTACATTAATGGAAGATTTACGTATAGATTTTTGTGATTGTTAAACTGGGTGGTGACAAATGGGGGCATGTGTCTATTACGTGTCTTGGAAATTGATTTGGGACGAAAAGCGTGGAATCAATTTTCTTCATCTCATAACAGATTTTAAGGGTTGTAGACATTGTTATTGTTATTAGTTATTGTTATTGACATTGTTTATTATTATCTCCAATGGTGTAAAAACTAACGAAAAATACTCATCTTGTTATGAAATGGAGTTTTCCAGACTTCTTATGATTAACATGTTGTTTATGGTTCTGGTGTATGTATAGTTTGTTCTTATTATGAACCTTATTTTTTTTTTAAGAGGTTGGCGGATTTGTTTGTAAAAATTCATCACCAACAGCCACAAATGTAATAAATTGATCAGTCGTGTTAAAAAAAAATTATTTTAAGCATATTTTGTTTATTCATCTTTTAGTGTATGCTAAACACGAATTGCCATGAGTCAGCAACGATACTGTTGGTGTAGAAAGGAATATTTTTATAATAATATAATACCTTATTAGAATAAACAGTTTAGCCCTGTATCCCTGTGCTATTTGTCGTTCTCTTCACAAATTTGCGCAGTAAAGAAAACTCACTAACCTTGGTTTTCATATCATCTCTATTCCGTTAGGACCCTGCATTTTCTTAATTAATACATACTTATCTGTCAAAGATAACAAATTAACAATTATAATTAATACAAAAACCATGAGCTTATTTGATTTCTTGTTGAATTCAGTGCAAACGTAAAATAAGAAATTGTAGTGGTCGTGAAAGAGTTAAATAAAGTGTAAAGTTGATAAAATGTGCAATCTTAACCAAAAGTTCAAAGTTTACATACGATGCAAAAGCTCAAAATAGTTTTAAAAAAAGCATATCATGATACCGTCTTATTCCATTTTGTTATTATTAGGTATAATAAAATGATGTAATGCGAATATCAAGTCCGTGTGTTTGAAATTACATATAATAAACTACTCGATGATAAAGTAGTAGTTTAAAAATGTGACTGCAATGAAATTTATTACTTTTTGGAGAGTGCGAATAATAACGTGGGTTTATTTTAAACTAGGTCGCATTTTACTAGATCGATTTAAGTTTAGCAAAAGCTATTTACGTACTACTGTCTGATTGTTTACCCATTCTTTGAAGGTAAATCCACCATACAATACAATAGACATGAAATCCTTAACCATTCATTAAATCATTTAAATATTTAAAAAGTTACAAAATAAAATTATACAACCACAATTCTTTTCAGTAGTTCTAAAATCAATCCCCGAAATACAAACAACCAGAACACAATCTGATGAATAACAATCAATTTATTTCTGACTATTGCCGTAATAATTTTTACTTAACTGATAGCGGATGGAGTGTAACTAGTCCAAGACCAATGACTTGAGTATCGTTGGACTAAGATTAACACTGCCACCATTACAATTGTTATAATTTAATTTGTGTAAATAAAAGATATCGATAAAAATAGCCCTATTACTGAGTAGTAAGTTCATAGTAGTGAGATGATTATAGTATGATGGCTCAAGTGCTTAATGTAACATCTCATTTTACTACTTTGGATAAAATTACTTATTTCATGGCATTTGCTATAAGCTATTTTATAACTGGTATTTCAACCATCAGTGGAGGACTGAAGAATGTTTTACTATGATATTTGGTTTGATTGATTTAAAATCTTCCAAAAAAATTATAACTTACAATGGATACATTTGTGACCGAAAGATGATAATGATTGAATCCAGCCGGAGGGTGGAAAATATAAATATATATATATATATATATATATATATATATATATATATATAGGAATATGGAAAAAGAAGTTGACAAAAATATAACCCAGGAATATAAAAACTTGTTATCCACTATATAAACAAATCTTGTGGTCTATAATGGCATTAAATTTAACCAGTCCATACAAATATTTTCTGATGATTTTACCCCCCTTATACATTTACAATAGATTACAATTGTTTATGTCTTCAGTTGAAAAATGTTTAAATAATGTTCTGTTCTTTTCAAAATGTATTCATTTTATGTTTTAAGCTTAATTTAATTTCTTGTGGCTTCAAATGACACAACATTAATTTTCGATGTTAAAACATTTAATTTAGAAAGCGAGTATGCGTGCAATTGTAAGCTAACAACTCAGTAAGGTACAGTTTATGAAATGTAATGCGTTGACAAATAACATAATAAATTCAAGAATCAAACAAATCCTCAGTTAAATTCAATTCAATAGTTCAATAGTTTGAATCTATAACATTTCACGTGCACTTTAGTGGGAAAATATTTCAGTTGATTGAAACTATTAGAGACTTACAAAAACTGGTAGTTTAACGGTTTTAGTTGGTTATTTGTGTATGATTTTATTAAATGCAGGGTCAAATTGTTCACTTTAGCAACATTTATGCTCATAAAATTTAGGTTTAACTGAGAAATAAATGTGTGCTGAAATTTCACTAGGTAAAATATGATGCATCACTTTTTAAGGAGGGCAAAAAACAATTCAAAACTTAAAAATATGCAATTTATTAAATTTAATTTGTTTTCATTAAACATTACAAAGATCATTTCACTAAATTCAACATGTTATTTGCTTCGCTGAACTTTAAATGACAAATTTAACAATATAACAAACATGTTTGGATGTAGCAAAAGTTATCTACTGCTAATGTTCTTCACTTTTTTAAAGTTTTCGTGACATTCACGTCAATAATTTTGAAATTGAATTTTGGAGTACAAAATACGTGTTATCCTCAGACATCGAAATCCACATAACTCAAAAGTCACAGAAATGATCAAATTAAAACTTACATTGCATATAACATTTAAAAAAAATGCAGAATTTAAAAACCCAAATAAATAGAAAAAAGTTTTATTTTTTATTAAACACTCACGTTGTGTGTAACGTATGTATCTGAACGTAGATTGATTCAACCACAACGGTTTATTCTGTGTCAATAGCATTATAAATTTCGGACTGTTGTCATAAACAAAACGTAAAAACTGCAGTTGTATAGAAAACAACAAAACTATTTTTTTAACATTAGTCCATTGTACTACTGTTGTTCCGCAAACTTGCAATATTGAAACGATCGAAGTAGCTTCGAAAACTAAAAAAATCTTATCGAAACGTATACTCAATAATTCTAACCGTATGACGCCATTACACCTGGCAAAAATCTACAACTGTATACTGTATTGGTAGACCGTCCCTGAAAATATGACTTAAAATTTTAATTCCACATAACGATTATTGTAAAATATCCGAATTTGCTTCTCATAAAGAAACACCAATAATATAAAAGTAAGCTATTCCAGGATACTGATTCCTGAGCCATGTATGTGTGAGCGTGACTACTGTGCCATTGTGTTTATAATTCCCGAGTTATGTTTGGTTCCGTAGCCAGTTTGGCTAATTCCAGCGTGCCCAGTATAGCTCACAGCTGGCGCTACCCGCCTTTACACACGGACGTGGGTAAACAAAACAAACCACGAATTGAAACACAGCAATATTGATTATTATTATTACCAAACTATCAATTAACTAAAACGAAAGTCAGCATACGTTTACCAAAAAACATAACTAAATTATTAATAATGGAGTGAGATAACTTGTGGAAATGTGTACAAGCTAAGACCATCTGTCAATTTAAAAATATTGGATCATTCAAAGAAATCCCAACTAGCAGGTGCAATTGGGTCCAGTTTTTTACCGTCAAAAAGCTACTGACTGTTTTAAAAGAGGAACCATCAAAGTTCTGATCGTAAGGCGAGTACTATAACCACACAGCTAACTATTTTACTATTAAAATAAATTATGTATTAAAACAATAAAAAAATTATCGTCCTATGATTTTTAATGGAAGGAAGTCTTTGAAACAAAGCTTTTTTTCCTCGACCCAAAAATTTTTAATAATTTGTTCTAGACATCACTGGTTAATAATTTATAAATAAATTTGTAAGAATAAGGCAGTGCACATGGTATAGTTTAAATTATACAAATATTAATTTTTACAGTCAAAAGTGGTTTAGTTGTTGATATACTTTTCATTAATGGCAAAACCTATAAAAATAGCATTACATCACATTGAAATGTAAAATTACTTATACCATGTTAATTCATAAATTTAATTATTAGTATAAATTCCATCCCTAGTCTTTCTTATTTATGACTTTATTTGTTTATTACTTCCATTACTTTTGATTTGTTCAAATATAATATAGTCCAGTCAAGGAATGAGGTGTAGAGTGCGTGAGCAGGTAACTAAGCGATTCCTTCAGAAACTTGTTCAGGGGGCTTAGGGTGTTAACATACCAAAACTCCTGACTCCTAGGTGGTGAGCCAGGGGGTTGAGGGGGGAAAAAGGGGGGGAGAAAGGTACGCATTTTGGGTTTTTTGATTATATCTCGAAAACTATCAACTTTTTGTATACTATAGTAAATTATAAAATTGAAGAAGATTAAATTTTCTACAAGAAAAGTATATAATGTGTTTATTTTGGTTCAAACAGGTTACGAGTTATAACTTATTTAATTGATATCTTATTAAAATACTCCTTCCATAAGAAATACATGTAAATTAGTATGCGAAATGGGGCGAATCCTATCCGCCCAAAGCAATATAAATGATATTCTGGAAATCTTGACAAAATTTCCAGTAATTTGACACTTTTATTCATTAAAATTGATCCAAAATTAAGGCGAGGGCGAGGTAACAAAATCGAGTTTTGGTGTTTTTTTATTGGAAATATAAAAAAAAACCTTAAATCATCCCATTTTTAAACGCTCACCCTCGCTTTAATTTTTGACAAAATTTCATGATTTAAGTGTCAAATTACTGGAAATTTGGTCAAGATTTCCAGAATATCAGTTATATTTCCTTTGGGCGGATAGGATTCGCCCCATTTCGCATACTAATTTACATGTATTTCTTATGGAAGGAGTATTTCAATAAGATATCAATTAAATAAGTTATAACTCGTAATCTGTTGAGCCAAAATAAACACATTATATACTTTTCTTGTAGAAAATTTAATCTTCTTCAATTTTATAATTTACTATAGTATACAAAAAGTTGATAGTTTTCGAGATATAATAAAAAAACCCAAAATGCGTACCTTTTTCCACCCCTTTTCCCCCCCTCAACCCCCTGGCTCACCACCTAGGAGTCAGGACTTTTGGTATGTTAACACCCTAAGCCCCCTGAACAAGTTTCTGAAGGAATCGCTTAGTTACCTGCTCACGCACTCTACACCTACTTTTGGATCATTCATTGACTGGACTAATAAATTAAAATTTGCTGTATTTTTATATAGAAACGAATAATACCAGTACGTGGTATGATACTATTTTGTCCTACCACGTACGGAGCTATAATTAAGTCTTAATAGTTTTCATAATAAACAAACATTTTTCATACATTTATACACCTCGGTCAATTGTCTATAAACCACAAAAATATTTTAATATAAACGATTTAATTTAAGAACCACGTATATTTGTGTACCAGAAGTAGAAATTATATTATTAGATTAGTTCCCATCATAAATTCGTCATTTTCAATGCTACATGTGATACCTATTATATACAATACAACATCTTAACATTTTTAAATCCATTGATTGATTTGAGTATTTGATTTTTTCCCTTCTAAACAATAAAAATGTGTACTTTTTACAAAATTACTAATTAATCACAACAATTCTTCCGACACTGAATCAGTTTAATTAGTTGTAAAATTAAATCAAAATACTTACATATGATAATATTTAGCTTCAAGAACGCGAAAAACGTAAATATGAAAGAATGGGTGACGTGAACTAATGGTCTACGAGGGCGGCGGGCCTACACTGGCCGGGGCAGCGGCGGGCGGGCGAAGGGCGGCCGTGGCGCATGTCAGAGAGTTAGAGAACTGGCGATTCTGCCGCCCGTAGCAGCACTGTACAGACCACAGTGCATCACCATACTTATACCATTGAGTTAAATTATGAGTCTGAGTCGCTATTAAATTTGAGAGGCTAATTAAAGCAATACCGTGGTAGTTTGTGTTGCTGGACATATGCTTTTGTTTAAATCGGGACAGTAGTTATGTAAAGGTCTGTTTGAGCGCAGGGTGAGGGTGAGAGCAGTCCTAGAACGGGATAAAAGTCCTAGAACGGGATAAAGTCCTAGAACGGGCTCCTCAAAATCCGACACTCAGAGAGCGGTCTTCTGCAGTTCTAGAGCAGTTCTGAGAGCAGTCCTAGAACGGGATAAAAGTCCTAGAACGGGATAAAAGTCCTAGAACGGGCTCCTCAAAGTCCGACACTCAGAGAGCGGTCTTCTGCAGTTCCTTTTCATAGAATCTGCCTATAATTTATTCCCCATTTTGATCAGTGGTCTTAGTAGTTATGTATTTACGGGTTCTAGGCCAGGATGAGGATGAGAGCTCTAGAATAGGGTACAGCCCTAGAACAGGGTACAGCCCTAGTATAGGGTACAGTCCTAGAATAGGGTACAGCACTGAAATAGGGATACAGTCCTAGAAACAGGGTACAGTCCTAGAACGGGGTACAGTCCTAGAATGGGGTATGGTTCTCAAAGTCCAGTCCGACACTCAGAGAGCGGTCTTCTGCAGTTCCTTTTCATAGAATCCGCCTATAATTTCTTCGCCATTTTGATCGGCGATCCTATAAGTAACCGGTCTAGTGTTTAGAATTCGTGCTATTGTAAATATCTCCGAAGTCCAGTTTTGTTTATATTTATTCGCAAACACTTCTTTTTTCGTCGTGATACGAACTCTATCACCGAGGTCGAACTTGCTGTTTTTACGAACTTTGTGTTCGCGCTCAATGTACATTTTTAATAGATCAGCCTCGTTATCTTTGTTGACCTCTACTGGTCTCATTTTAATAGTGTGGTGATAATCGTGTTGGTTATACTCATCTGTGACTTCTTGTAGTATATCGTACCACTTGTGGGATTGTCGGACTTGGAATTTCACTTTAAGTTTCTCATTCAATGTCCTATGATATCTTTCAATTATTGCGGACTTCTCTTCACTCTCTGTATGGTATAGTTTGATATTGTGCCTCCTCAACATGTTGTTGAACGGTTTGTTTTTAAACTCTGTACCTTTGTCGGTATGTAAAAGCTTCGGTGCTTTATGACCATCACTGTTTGCTCTTTTTATAATCTTCTCGAAAGCCGTTGTCAACTCTGCCCCGTCTTTTTTCTTTAAAGGTTCGGACCAAACGAATTTGCTAAATGTATCTATGACATTTAAAATGTACTTGTACCACTTGTTCTCCCTAGCGTACTGCTTCATTATTAGTAAATCTGCAGCCCACAAATCATCGATACCCTTGGTGACTATTCGGCGTTTAATGAACTTTTTAATAACCGGCCTGTGCAACTCCTTGGCTTCTAGGTAAAGTAATTTGTCATAAAAATCAGTTAGAGCTAGGGCAACGAGCCATACTCGAGCTTCAGAGACTGCAGAGGAACACCAGGCCGGGCTTTTAGCTGATTCGATCAGACATGCCTCCCATAGAGAATCTGAAACCCCCAATGAACGCCACGTTAGGCTTTTAGCTGCAGGCACACCTCACATAGAACCTCAGAGACATCTGATGAACGTAACATTCTAGTACCAGCCAACACAAGTAGAACTGCGTCACATAGAACTGCTGAAACACCTGAAGAGTACCAATAGTTGAATTGCATCACAAAGAGCCGCTTAAATGTCTGATGAACAGCATCAGGCTGGGGTGGTGGCCAACAGTAACAGAATGGCTTTACAAAGAGCTGCACAAGTACAAGAGGAAACCCCTGCTATTATACAGGAAAGACAACGACGGAGATAAGACTTCATGAGTATGATGTGGAACCCATTTAATGGTATAGCTTTTCGATATGATCTGTTCATTGATTATATCAATCACAGTTTTTTTTTGTATAGGCAGAATGAGCCAAACATGTAGATATTGTGATACAGTAAAATGGGAGCTAATAGGGATGTGTTGTTCAAATGGAAAAGTAAGGCTTACTTTACCTGCTGAGCCAATTGAGCCACTAAAGACCCTTGTCGTTGGAGAAACAGCAGAATCCAAGTGTTTTTATACTAAATTTGGAAATATAACTCATGCTTCCAAATGACCTCATTTGGTACTTTTGGCCAAGTTGTATAACATGACTATCCCACAACGTTCACTGTGCAGGGGCAAATATAACATAGAATTGGCTTATTACTCCCACAACCCGATCAGCCTCATGGCTTCCTACAAATATTCTTCATTGGTGGTCGACAAGCTGAGGCTATAAGGTGCTGTGACAACATCCTAAAACATAGTACAAAGCCTTCAACGCATTTTTTATGGCAACAATATTTTAATTGCGTCCTTTAAAACCGCATTAGATCAGTGGCCGTCAGATGGTTTTAAAGCCATTATGCGTGCTGACTGCTGTCCAGCTGGGGAGCATGAGTGATGATTCGACGCTTCGACTGTTGATGAAGTGGCAGTGGTCATTGTTGGCAATAAGTTTCACTCACGAGATATTGTGCTGTGCCAAAGAGATGACACTTTTGGTTAGAGTATCTGAAACTCATTGCTTCTATGATGTTTTGCAATACCTTCCATATTTTAGAGTGATCAGGAAAGCTACCATTTCAACATTCAACAGAGTAATCCCACAACCAAGCATCCTACAACTAAAAAGCGACTGCAATACAGTTTTATGTGTCATAATGGTTTGTCAAAACCACTTCAACCCAATCATTCACTACAGATAACGGTTTAGTCGGTTTATTGTAGACATGTGTGCTAGAATTGAAATACCAACAATGAAACAGTATGCTCTAATGATCTTGGTCAAATAGTGATGGAAAGTGTACAAAGATATATCCCAGATAGATTATGACTGAGATATAGCTATAATGGGTACCCTTTGTACAGAAAGTGATCAACAAATTACGGTGGACATTATTCTCAAATAAATGTATCAGGATGAGGATCTGTGGATATTGACAACTGTTGGATTGTACCATACAACCCAGTTTTGACAAAAATTTTCAACGCCCATATTAACATGGAGTACTGCAGTTCAGTGAAGAGCATAAAATACATATGCAAATATGTAAACAAGGGAAGCGACCAAGCTGTTGAGGGAAGCTGCACCAGAGATGAGGTAACTCTTTACCAATCAGGACGTTACTTGAGTTGTAATGAGGCAGAATGGTGTATCTTTGGGTTTCTAGTTCATGAAATCCCACTGTTACTTATCCGAGTGTTCACTTTGAGAACTTCCAGAGGGTTTACTTCAACGACAACAGCCTACATTACGTTTTACAAAACCCAAGAGATACTAAATTTACTGCATTTTTTGAGCTGTGTACTAATGATGAATTTGCTAGGACCCTTTTTTGCAATGAAGTACCCCACTACTACACCTGGAACGCTTCACGAAAAGAGTTCCAGCGTTGCGGTATTGGCTTTCCAGTGGAGAATCAGCCTGATTTAAAGTATTCAGAAGCGCTAGGACGAGTACCACGGCCGTTAACTTCGAGTGCTACTGTTTACGTATGCTACCGTACTTCAAAGTGTATGTGGTCCTACTTGCTTTGATGACTCAAGAACTGTTGAAAGCCATACATACAATCCATATAGAGAAGTGTGTGAAGTCCATTCTTTGCTCGATCGTGATGACTGCTGTGAATCCACAATACGTGATGCTGTTCTGACTCGCTCTCCACAATGTATCAACGTGAGTCAACGTGAGCCACATCAACGTGATCCTGGCGAGCACCTGTGGGCTGTCAAACCCCTTACAACTTTGAAAAACCCTTAAAGACGACATGGCTGAAGACATATTGGTGTGTTTTCATTGAGAAGTTCCAGGTACACTCTATAATGAGGTAGTTTACAATGAAGTGTTACTGGCAATTATATGTCTGGTTTCGACGATGTGTGGTAGAGATTTGAGTTCATTTGGCCTTCCCACACCTCAACTAGAGGTCAATGTCAATACAGAAGTTCCAGGTACACTTTATAATGAGGTAGTTTACAATGATGCGTTACTGGCAATTGCATCTCTAGTTTCAACTATGTGTGGTAGAGATTTGAGTTCATTTGGCCTTCCCACACCTCAACAAGAGGTCAATGTCAATACAGAAGTTCTCAAAGAGATGCCATACAATACTACTGACCTACAGAACCATGTTTTAGGAAATTTACCGGAACTTTCACCGGAACAACTTGATGTGTTCTGTTTTGTTGCAAACAGAATTGCTCAGCAAAAAGGAACCATAGTTTTCTTGGATGCACCAGGTGGTACTGGTAAGACTTTTCTAACAAATTTGCTGTTGGCAGGCGTAAGAAGAAAAGACCAAATTGCTCTTGCTGTTGCGTCATCTGGAATTGCGTCAACGCTTCTAGAAGGCGGTCGTACAGCAGCTTTCAAACCACCTCTCAAGTTGAATTCTGGTGATGCTGTTACCTGTAATATAAGGAAAATTCTGATCGTGGGGGAAAGCTCTTAGATGCTGCAAACTTTTGGTATGGGATGAGTGCACCATGTCACACAAACGTGCACTAGAAGTTCTCGATTTGACACTTAAAGCTGCCATAAACCGTTAGGACTTAATGGGAGGGTTGGTTGTTTTATTGGCTGTAGATTTCAGGCAAACCCTTCCAGTAATTCCTCGAGAAACACCTGCAGACGAAATAAGTACCTGCATTAAAAAGTCTGCTTTGTGGAGTTACGTTGAGGAAAATAATTTGATGCAGAACATGAGAGAGATTCTTCAAAACGAACACGATGCTGAATTGTTTTTTTTCCAATTTATTAAACATCGGAAATTGACAGATACCTGTTGATAGCCAACAAAGAATCTCATTTCCTCTAAACTATGCCAACATGGTTGATTCATCGGAGAAACTAATACTTAAAGTTCATTAGTTA